CTTCTGAGATTGCTGCAGCTCCAGAACTGCGAGAAACTGCTGTTTCAGGGCTGTTGCTTCAGAGAAAGCAGGTATCAGGTGTCTTTTGAGATTGCTGCAGCTCCCAGAGGCTGAGAAAGACAGCCTTGCTACGGAGGCCCCTGCTCTCAGAGCAGCAGAGAAGCCGTGAAAGGGTCCTGGTCGAAGTCTGAAGAGAAGAGTTCCTGAAGCTTAAGACTTCAGCCTTCGGGTCCTGGTCTAAGTCTGAAGAGACGAGTCCCTGAAGCTTAAGACTCAGCCTTCGGGTCCTGAAATTCAGGAAACCGCCAGAGGTCTGACAGCAAGGTTTCCTTACTAAAATCCTTATCCGCCGGAGCTCGAAAACAAGTCCGGCAAGGGTACCCCTTACGGGCCTCCAAAATGACAATAATAAAGGGTGGCAATAATAATTTCGGCGAGGGAGGGAGGGCGAAGCAAGCAAGCCTCAAGTTTAAATGGCTGCCTTTAATTAAGTCTCAAGACAGGAGTCCCTTAAGCTTAAGACTTCAGCCTTCGGGTCCTGGTCTAAGTCTCAAGACAAGAACCCCTGAAGCTTAAGACTTCAGCCTTCGGATCCTGGAACTCAGGAAACCGCCAGAGATCTGAGAGCAGGGTTTCCTTACCTAGAACCTCTTGACCCCCCCCAGACCCCCAGACCCCCAGAATCCTCACAATTGACACCCCCTCTTTTTTTCCACCCCCTCCAAGCCCCGGGGACCAAAACAAGATTTGGGGGGGGGGGGGTGGGTTTATTAAAGCGACCCTAACATTAGGGATGGGAGATTTATGGGAGATTTAACACGCAAATCTTGTCCAACCTCGCGCATGGCCCCTTCAACCCGAAAATCCTAAACCAGAAAAAAACCCAGAACCCCCCCAACACCCCACAAACCCTAAAAACCCCAAAGCCGCAGAATCCGAAACCCTAGGCCTGCCACCCTAAACCCTAAACCCTAGACCGGGGGCTGTTAGGGGGTTTAAGACCGGATCGAACTTTGGCACGACCTCAGGCACGTCTGAGGCGAGGCTGCCCCGGTCTAGGGTTTAGGGTTTAGGGTTTGGGGTTTGGGGTTTGGGGCTTGGGGTTTGGGGTTTATGGTTCAAGGTTTAGGGTTCAGGGTGCGCCCTTTTCCCGGTAAGCCTCAAACCCAATACCCCTTGCACTTCGCAATCTCGGTCAGCAATGGTCGCTTACCCACTGGTTGAAGATCCGGGGCCAAACGACAGGGAAATTAGGTTCAGGGTTTTAGGTTTAGGGTTTCGGGATACGAGGTGCTTTAACCCCTTCGCCCCGAACAACTTCAGTCCCCAAACACCTTAACCTCCTCCCTGCCGCAACTTCTCCTCAACAACGGCCCCTGTACCCGGAGAGTACCCCTTAATGAAGGAAAACACACCTTAAATGATCTAGGGATCCTAAATATGATCTGCAGTCTGTTCATTTATAGGTCTCTTTGGGCTGTACCCTAGTACCCTAGCACTAACACCCTACTTGGAAGTTCATGGTACTTATTAAACAATAACATAACTGTACTTGTAACCCATTTATAAGCCCCTTAAGTGCCCTAATATGGTAACAAGTACAGTTGTAAGAGTACAGTTATAATTGAACCTCCAAGTACATGCGGTCCTTGCCTTAGTGGGCGCTGCCTTTGCTTTGGCCTTTGCCTTGCCCTGAGGACGAGGTCGCAGGGATAAGAATAGGGTTGTTGTAGTACAGCTTCTTCTTGCAAGAGTAATGTAGGAATAAATGGTTCCCTTTTGGGGTGTATAAGGGAACCCGAACCCTGAAAAAGGGAACAAGGGCCTACTCGGGTCCTGGATGAATAGTTCTTCCGACCCCTACATTGTATGAGGGGCTTTTCAAACCTAGCCCTTAAGGGTCCATGCTGCGATGGTCTGGGGTTTCTTGGTAGCCCAGTAACCATATGACAATAAGGGCACCCTTTTTTTTGGGGTTGGTTAACTTTATAAAGGAACCCATAACCCAAAAACGGGTAAAGTGTACCACTGGGCAACCAGGGTTTAGGGTTTAGGGTTTCAACCCTAAACCCTAAACCAAAAACCCTAAACCCTAAACCGGGGGGGGGCGGGGGCAGGAAGGGGGGGGGGGGGGGGGGGAGGAAGGGGGGCTGGTTCAGCCTTGGCCACGACCTTCATGGCCTTGCCCTGGCCGCAGCAGGAGTTTCGGGCTCGCTTTGTAAGGATTGACTGGGTTTGGGTGTTAGGGTTTAGGGTTTAGGGTGTTAGGGTGTTAGGGTGTTAGGGTGTTAGGGTGTTAGGGTGTTAGGGTTTAGTATCTGAGGACCCTAAATACCATGTTTGCAAGCAACCTAGACCTAAACCCTAATCCCAAAAAAAACCTGGGGGCTGTTTAACCGAGCTTTTACTAAGTTACTAACTGCACAACGGGCAAGCAAGAGCACGACTGGGGAAGCCCGCCTTATCAGGGATAGAAGAAGGGATTCCCCAGAGGACATACTTAAGTTCTAAGGGCAGTTTCATGCGCCCTCAATATGGTCCCCTACCTCCCTTAGAGGGCTCTGAAGTATGGGCCCTTTGGTTTTGCAGGGTACATAAGGGGTATATAAGAGGTCCCCTATTTTGAGGGACCATGTAACACCCTAAGATAAGTGGGCCCTACATGACCTTTAGTCCCGTGATAGCCTCCAACACAGGAGAGTCGGGGGGCCCAAGGCTGGTAGGCCTTGTTAGGGCTCATCAGGGAGGGTGCCGGGGAGGTTTGGGATTTAGGGTTGAGGGTTTAGGGTTAAGGTTTAGGGTTTAGGGTTTAGGGGTTTAGGGGTTTAGGGGTTTAGGGGTTTAGGGGTTTAGGGGTTTAGGGGTTTAGGGGTTTAGGGGTTTAGGGGTTTAGGGGTTTAGGGACGTAATCCAATTTGTTTGACTTGGCTTCGGAACACTGGACCCTGAATCCCCCCAAATTCTTGCAGTGTGGAAGGCTTACATACAACTTCGGGGCTCTAAACTTGCCAAGCCCTAAACCCTAAACCCTAACCCCTAAACCCCTAAACCCCAAACCCTAAACCCTAAACCCCCCAAACCCCCGCCAACGCGCCTTGGCTGCGGCCTTGGCCTTTGCCTTCGCCTTGGCCCTGGCCACCCCGCTTAGGGTTTAGGGTTTAGGGTTTTAGGGTTTAGGGTTTTAGGGTTTTGGGGTTTTAGGGTTTGCTTCTAAACCTCCTAAAAGTTTAACTTTTAGGCCTAATTGTAGTTTCCATAAAACCCAAAAGGTTAAAGTCCTAAGAGCCAGCCAGAAGAAAGCCAAGTAAAGGACTTACTATTGTAGGCTACTGTACTGGAGCCTGTAAGGACCCATCATTTGAGCGTCAGCTGAGTAACCTGGATGTACAGGGTTTAGGGTGTAGGGCCTAGGGCCTAGGAGGTTGGGGGTTAGGGTTGTTTGCTGGAGCGTTTGGCTCGTTTCTTTCGTCTCAAGGGGTGCTCCTCATCCGTGCAGAGTAGGCATGAAAAGCCCTACAAAAACCTCCCCAAAGAGCCCCATGAACAGCGCTTGAATAAGGAAGATACCTTAAATGAAATACTGTAGGGATCCTTGAAATAAATTTGAGGTATACCCCAAACCCTAAATCCCAAACCCTAACTGCTGAAGTAAGGATCCCTGCATACTTATAAGGTATACTTCCTTAAGGAGTATCGGGCTTTCTGAGCTGAGGCAACCCCGAGCCCTTCGAACTCAAAAACAATACCTAGACCGCCAAAGTCCAGGGTTTCGGGTGCATAGGGATATGGGTCATTTTGAGGGGTCCAAGTACATCTGTCAGTGGAGATCCACCATGAAAAAACAACGACTGAGCAATGTTCCTTAACTGCGAGAATTCTATACTAACCCCCACCCTGACTGCCCCGCTCACCCACAAGTCCCGATGTTGAAAGTTATGTTGGCTGCAGGATCCCCCGCAATGAATTCAATAGACCCTAAGAAAACCTAAGCCCTAAACCAGTCACCTTGGGATGTTCCCCCCTTATACTAACAGTCCTTACTAGGCATCATAATAGGGAGTACTATAATCCCTACTAAGGACTGTTCTATAGTATAAGGGGGAACATCCCAACATCCACTCACCCCAAAAAGCCACCCAAGCCGCTTTGCTTTCGGAGGCATCGCTGGACGACTCAGAAGGCGCTGCGGGGAGCCCGTGAGCCAAGCTTCTTGAGCGGACGCACTTTGTGGTGCGGCTTGGGGTTTAGGGTTTAGGGTTTAGGGTTTAGGGTTTAGAGCTTAGGGTTTAGGGTTAGGTTGTTTAAAGGTCCAGGGCGGAGTCTTCAGCCTTAGGGTTTGAAGGTTCGGGGTTTCGGGCCTTCTTGTTTCAGGTTTCAGGCCTCACGCTTAGGGTTTTTGCGCACCCTTCATGGTTAAGCGCGACCTTTAAGCGCGGCCTTGATTTTGGACTTCCAGGACCATGTCGAAACTCTAGGGCACAATATGAAATTTTCAACCTAAAATCTAAGCCCTAAAGCCTATAAACCCTAAAGGGGTTTTAGAGGCCAAGCACGCTGCCAAAATGCCACGCTCAGCGATTTGTCGTCCCGATTGGGTCTGCTGCGATGCTGCCCGTTTTCGGCAGAGCAGAGCTGTGCCGTGATGCACAGTGAGAAGTGTCCGTAAACCCCCAAAACCCTAAAGGCTCAATGAGGGTTTAGCGTGCAGGGTTAGGGTTTAGGGTTTAACTCTCAACACAGTAAGGATGCAAAGCATTCGAAAGTCTGAAGGCTGAGGTAAAAATTCCTTCAACCTCAAGACGGCCAAGGCTTCCCAATTTCAAACCGCAAAGCACCAGCAACCACTGAAGCACAACTCCCTGTAGCTCCAAGGTTTGGGGTTTTAGGGTTTAGGGTTCACCCTGACCACCGTTTTAAATATATTCCCTGAAAGCCTAAACCCTAAACCCTAAACCCCAAACCCTAAACCCTATTCCCTGATGCCTCTGAAAGAAACCCAGCTACTCTGGGGGCACTTGGTTCGCTTCTGCCAGAACCCGATCAGCCAGTCGAGTCCGACGCTCCCTGGCCTGCGGAGGTTTAGGGTTTAGGGTTTAGGGTTTAGGGCTTATAGGGTTTAGGGTTTAGGGTTTAGGGCTCTCGCCCTTGGAAGGTTTGGGATGGTCCCCCTTATACTCACAGTCCTTAATAGGGATTCTAATACAAGGAGGCCCCCCCCCCCCCCCAGTTATAAGTAGAGTTATGAGGATCCTAGATTAGGTTATAAGGATCCTAAACTAAGTTAGAAGTCCCTTATAACTAATTATAGTTAGTGTAGCAAGGCCTCCCCTCCTTGTAGGGGGTACTAGAATCCCCATCAAGAACTTTTTCAGGGCATGGGACTCAGGGTGATCAATCATTGAAGGACGTGCTGGTGAGGTCAGCGCTGCAGACCCTAAACCCTACACCGCGGGGAGTGCCCTAAACCCTAAACCCTAAACCCTAAACCTAAACCCTAAATCGAACGTTTTTGGTTCCCGTTTGCTTGAGGTTAACCCTAGGTACAGCTCTTCGTGTTGAGATCATCATTTGCCGGCCCTCGTCGCCAAATCGCAATCTGGCCCTCCCAGCCCTATAGACCCTATACGCCCTGATTGAAGCTGGGGTCATGAGCACAATCACCGGAACTACGTATATGCTGAGGCAGCACATTCAGTAGCTCCTTTTTTGGGTTAGTTGTGGGGGACTCTAAAACCCTAAGCCCTAAGCCCTAAGCCCTAAACCCTAAACCCTAAACCCTAAAAAGGCACAACAGAGGCACCCTTGAGGCACACTTCCAGCGACTAAACTACGAAGCCTGACAAGCCCTCAACTCTACCCCAATCGCTATAAAAACCTGCTGAACCCTAAACATGCCTAAACCCTAAACCCTAAAAGCTAAACCCTAAACTCTAATCCCTAAACCCTAAACCCTAAACCCTAAACCTTAACTCTAAACCCGAAGCCCCAAAACACCCAAACCATCATGAACCCTGGCTCTGCACCGGGGACGCCGACACGAATCTGCATCTTCCCGCTGAAGTAGGAGCGGTTGTGCTTGGCTTCCCCGTAGGATTCAACTCGGCGGGGCTTTGAGGTTCTAGGGCTTTTTAAGGCGTTGGGGCCTATAGGGGTTTTTTAGGGCTTAGGACCTCAAAAGAGTTTCACAAGTTCTGGGGCAAAAACCATGAATTTTCGGGTCTAAGGTGGGGCTTAAGAGTTCAGGACCTTGCGACTTAACCCTCACTCTGGTACATGGGATTCGCATCAGTGAACTTTCACAGTGCTACGCGCTGAAAGCCCGTTTAGGGTTTAGAGGGTTCAAGGGTGTAGTACAGCAGCCTTATTTCCGCAGCCTTATTTCCGCAACTACCGTCTGAACCATCTTGCTTTTGAAAGGCCGACTGAAACCCCAAACGCTGTTGAACAATGACCCAGTAAGCACGTTCAATACAGGGGCCTTAAGAATTAGAATTGTTTTTTTTTTGGGGGGGGGCGGGGGTCACTATAGTATAACTATACAGGGACCATAAAGGAATACGATTAGTAACTACTCCGACCCCTGTATTAGCCCACAAGCTCCGTCACTTGGCGCCCGGCCCCCAATCTTGCGTTCCGCGTACTTGTCGACAACCTCGGTTTGGGCGGGAGGGTATCGGAGTTGCCCCGACAAGGGACAGGCCAAAATACCCCGAAGGGCAGGACTTCCAAGCACCAGGCGTACTTCCGCCGAAGCAGGTAGTCCTTCATGTGCTGGCCTCTGCCGCAAGGAGGGGCTCCGTAGTTTTGTCGAGTTATCAGGACCCTAAACTGGGTTGGAAGTACATTAAAATCTAGGTTCCAAGTCCCTTACCACTAAGCTCAGGCTCTCGAAGTCGCAAAAGCCTACGCTCGGAACTCTATCTTGACGCCTACCTGGCCAAACAAGGAATGCACACACAAACCAGGTTGAGAATCCACACACAAACGGTAGAAAGGGTAGTTGGGCTCTCAGAGAAAATGTCAGGGCTTAGATAGCGTGCAAGACCGGTGTAAGGCAAGAAAAGGGCTTCCGGGGTTTAGGGGCTGGGGCTTTGCTTCAGGGATTTGGCGTTTAGGGCCTAGGGGTGCTCAGGGGTTTGCGGCAAGCCTTGTGCCTTAACAACAGGGTGTAAGACTATGCTTAGCCAATAATAAGGTCCATTGCCTTGTATCTGCGTGCAACTTAACAGGCTACTTCTAGGTACAACCAGACGAGATCCTGAAATGAAGCCAACTAGGGTTTAGGGTTTAGGGCTTGGGGACTCAGAACCAGCCCTTGGTCATCCTAAACTCCACAAACCTTATAAACCCTCTAAACCTTTCAAACCCTCAAGTGCTACAAAGCCCCATAAAGCCCATAAATTCCCATACACCCTCCAAACCCTGCACCCGCAGCCCGCCTTTCTCATCCAGCGCATCCACCTCTGCCTGCTTCTGTCTGAGTTCCTCCTTAGCGGCGAGCAATGTGACGGACAAGCCGGGGGTGGCGGAGGGGTGGTGGGGGGACTCGGGTTTAACCCCCCCAAACCCTGGACCATAAACTTAAACCTCAACCTTGCATGGGAGGAGGGTTAGAGGCAAACCCTTCGAGCGGTTACGGTAGTTGGCGGCCTCTTGGGTCGGCGGCCTGAGCTGGAGGCTCTTAAAGCCCGGGCACGCCCCCGTGGTCCGACGTCGCTACCTGCAAACCCTATGACACCCAATAAAAAGATTTTTTCTGCCTATCCCTAAACCCTACACCCCGCAACAAAAAAAAAACAATCAACCCGGAAACCTGGACCTGGGGTCTGTGCGCGCAGGCGTGGCAGCTCCTGGAGAAGCGCGCGCCACTCCTCGTGGCCTTGTTCTGTGGGTTTAGGGTTTAGGCTTAGGGCTTTGCGGTCAGGGCCTCGGGTTTAGGGTTTAAGTTCAGGCTTTAGGCCCTAAACTTTAGGGTAAGGGTTTAGGGTTTTAAAGTTCGTAAGTTGTGCATGGTGGTGCCCTCAAAAGCTTGAAGTGTACCTGAATTGTTGGATATGTATATATATATATAGAAAACTATTTTTATATTTATATTATTTATATTTATATTTATACTCATATTTATATATTTATATTTATATTTATACGTGCGCACACCCGTTCTGGATGCTACAAGGTTGCTCTAGGTAGGGCGTAGGGTTTGGGGCTTAGCATTTCAGGTATCGAGTTCAGGGTGTTTAGGCCAGGAATGGCATATGTTGTCGTCTGCGACGTGCAATGCTGACGACAACATGTAACACATTGCGGGGATGAGGATTCTGTCCCCGTTGAGGATACCAGCTGCGGACGCAACCACCCAGGTACTCCTCATAGCAGGTACGTTTGCACGTCTGCTACTCATGGTCTTCGTTGGTCGCAGCATGAGTAGCAGATCTGGGACCCCCTGCATGAAATCGAAAAACGGGCGTGACCCCAATCCTGCATGTACAGCAGGTTACACACACATGCCCCCAAAGGGCGGACGGGAAAAAGACAGGTCAGACGTCTTGAAGCGGAGAACGGGCGAGGTAGATCATCACCACAACCAGAGGGAGTTCAGCAACACTTTACCAACATTAGCAGAAGAGACATGCTAACTCATGCACATGAACAACAACGACAGGAGGTGCAGAGGAAGTTCACCAACAACAACAAGAGGGAGGACAACACCACTTTACCAACATTAGCGGAAGCTACCTGTTCACAGCTGGCGGCGCATTACCAAAACCACAAAGCGGTGCCGTCCGGGTACCCCTGCGTCTGCAAGTTGGATGATCCCGATGACATGTCTGTGCTCGCACTCACTCATGCCACAAAGCCTACTGCAGATGATCCCGATGAATGAGTACCTCAGTCAGCAGAGCTCAGTCAATCCCGGATGCCCGGGTCTTCTGGGATCTGGCCCCGTGACGGGACAACACGCCAGAACCATACACACGTTGACTTGTCTGGAACTGATGAGACGGACGACTGGACAACATCAAGCACAGTCAGTGACTATCGTCGTCATTGTTTGGGCTAGGTTTCAGGCCCCAGATCAGACCAGAGGAATGATCGTTGGGATGCGGGTTCTGTCCCTTGTGTCGTCGTCGTGCCAGACACCAGGAATGGCATATGTTGTCGTCTGCGACGTGCAATGCAGACGACAACATGTAACACATTGCGTGGATGAGGATTCTGTCCCCGTTGAGGATACCAGCTGCGGACGCAACCACCCAGGTACTCCTCATAGCAGGTACGTTTGCACGTCTGCTACTCATGGTCTTCGTTGGTCGCAGCATGAGTAGCAGATCTGGGACCCCCTGCATGAAATCGAAAAACGGGCGTGACCCCAATCCTGCATGTACAGCAGGTTACACACACACAAGCCATACCACAGACAAAATCCCAAACAAAGCCCCCAATCGCGAAAGCCGAAACCCAAAAGCTCGGCGCCCCAAGCCCAAAGAGCCCATTATGCCCTTAAATAAGGAATATACCTGATAAATCCGTATTGACTAAGGATCCCTGTCTTATTTGAAGTATCGACCGATATTCCTTGAATTTCAGGGGAATAACAGGGCTCTCTGGGAAGCTCCTCCCCAAGCCCGACAACATCTGCGGAGCCCCTAGACCCCAGACCCAGATACACCCTAAACGGCTTAGGGTTCAGGGTTTAGGGTTTAGGGTTTAGGGTGTAGGGAAAAACCCAGCAAAACAAGGTCAAGAAGGTTGTTTGAGGAACCCCCCCCCCCCCCCCCCCCCCCAGCCTGAGTCCCTAACACCCTCCACCCCACACCGAGCACGCGGGCGGAGGAAGAGAAGGGGACGCTGACGGAAGTCCGTAGCACAAAGCAGCGTCTCAGGCCTGTAAGGTTTAGGGTTTAGGGTTTAGGGTTTAGGGTTTAGGGTTTAGGGTTTAGGGTTTAGGGTTTAGGGTTACTTGGAGGTTCATGGTACTCATCAAACAAGTATAACTGTACGTATAACCCACTCATAAGCCCCTTAAGTGCCCGAATATGGGTATAAGTACAGATAAAAGTACAGATCTAATTCGTTAGCAAGTACCATATATATATATATCTATAAACTATGTATATGTATATGTATATATATGTGTATATACACCTTATGTAGTCCCTTTATCACTCAGTAGCCCCTAAATAACCCCTGAGGTCCCTTACAAGGGTCCCTCCTTGGGTCCCTTGATTTTGGCAGCCTTTCAAGGGATGAGGACTCATACCCCTAAGGTTGTACCCCTAACTTGAAGCTTCATGGTACTTACTAACCAATTATAACTGTACTTATAACCCTACTTATAATACCCCTAAAGGGCCTTATAGGGGTTATCCCAATTATAAGTAGGGTTATAAGCCCAGTTATAATTGGTTAGTAAGTACCATGAACCTTCAAGAAAGGCTCCCCTTCATATGCTCCCAAGAAGGGCCCTTCTATTCCCTTAAGGATCTTTAGCCAGGGACCCCAAAACCCAAGGGTACAACGATAAGGGTCCAAGGTAGAACCCCATGACTGAAACCCCAAACCCGGAACCCTAAACCCTAAAGCAGGGTCCAAGGTAGAACCCATGACTGAACCCCAAACCCGGAACCCCAAACCCTAAAGCAGGGACCAAGGCAGAACCCATGACTGAAACCCCAAACCCGGAACCCTAAACCCTAAACCAGGTTTCAGGGTTCAGGATGCTGGGTTTTAGGCAGGGATTAGGTTTCGCGTGTACAACGTTCGGGATGCCAAAAGGGCGTAGGGTTCAGGGTTTTTGGATTTGGGATTTAGGATTTAGGGTTTAGGGTGTAGGGATTCGGGTTGGAGAGGTACATGGAATTAGGTTCGACAGCGTTTCGGAGGCTTGTCGGTCTTGCTTGCTGTTGAGCTTTCCGCTGAGGGTACAGGGGAGTTGCAAATGCATTGGTGCTCTGTCTTGGGCTGTTAGAGCTCAAGCCTACCTTCTATAACTAAAACACACACATATATATATATACACATATATATATATATGTATATGTATAGATCGATAGATAGATAGATTAGGGGGGAGAACATATTTATGTGTATATACATATATTATATATACATAGAGAGTATTGAAATTTGTATTTGTATTTATATTGATAATGCACATACATCTTAATATATACACACACTTTGGGGATGCGGGCAGAGGGCTATCCTCAGCCCTGCGACATCAGACCCTAAAACCCTAGAGTTCAAGCCTGGCCTGGCCCATGATGGTTTAGGGTTCTAAATGATGAGTTGTTAAGGGTTTGGGGTTTAGGGTTTAGGGTTTAAGGTAGGAAATCTACTGTATCATGAGTGAACACCCCCCGCCCCTCCCCCACGACGCACACGCATCCATACGAAAGGGCCCAACAAGTGTATAGAGGGACCAGGTGGACGTGATGCGACTCAACTGGGTGCAGCACCCCGGCTTCATCTTCTCGTGTGCTGCCCTGGCAGAGAGGTTTAGGGTTTAGGGCTTAGGGCTTAGGGTTTAGGGTTTAGGATTTAGGGTTTAGGGTTTAGGGCTGCAACGGTTTGAGCTTCAGGGTGCTGAGGGTATTTAGGATCTATAGCGCCTTTCCTTGCACGCTTTCTACAAGGAAGGGAACCCGTAAACCCCTAAACCCCTAAAGCCCTAAACCCTATAAAACCTATATACCCTAAACCCTAAACCCAAACACTAACCCTTAAGCCCTAAACCCTAAACCCTATAAAACCTAAACCCTAAAAACCCTAAACCCTAAACCCTAAGCCCTAAACCCTGAACCCTAAACCCTCAAAAACAAAAAAGGCCGCCTGCGCGCAGCCAGGAGCTGCCTCTTCGGCTTCGGACCGATGCAAGAGAGGTCCTGCCATCTCTCCAAAAGGAAAGGTTCAGGGTTTAGGGTTTAGGGTTTAGGGTTTAGGGTTTAGGGTTTAGGGTTTAGGGTTTAGGGTTTAGGGTTTAGGGTTTAGGGTTTAGGGTTTAGGGTTTAGGGTTTAGGGTTTCGGGTTTAGGGTTTATAGGGCTTAGGGCTTAGGGCTTAGGGTATGGGGTTTAGCTCTGGGGTTTGGGGGTTGGGGTATACTGTCTGTGATTTTTAGGTTGACTGCTTTTGGCCCCAAAGAAGCCCAAGGAATATACCCTAATTGATATATAGGGATGCTTAAACCCCAGACCCCAAACCCTAGACCGTAAACCCTAAACCGTAAACCCTAAACCCTAAACCCTAAACCAATTTAAGGTCTCTGCCTTCATGAAGGGGTATCGGGCTCTTTGGGAACTGCCTGCGATGGTTCTACTCGGAGGTTCATGGTACCTATTAACCACATATGGCTGCACTTATAACCCACTCATAAGACGGTTTAGGGCTTAGGGTTTAGGGTTTAGGGTTTTAGGCTGGGATTTTCACCCTTCTACTAACAGTCCTTAATAGGGATCCTCATAGGGGGCGTTATGATCACTATTAAGGACAATTAGTATAAGGGGGAACATCCCAAGTTTTAGGGCTTCACGTTGCCGACAGTAACCAACAAACAAGTATGAAAGCGATTATTCTGGTTGCACGGTTTACGACTTAGGGTTTAGGGTTTAGGGTTTAGGGTTGTATATACGAGACCAAAGAGTAACCTTGGAATGACAAGTGTATACATATATATATATATGTACATATACATATAACCAAGAATACTGACATGTTTGCCCTGGAACCCCGACGCTCTGAAAACAAATCCTAGCAGGAAGGGCTTAGGGTTTGGGATTCAAGGGTTTAGGCACTAAACCCTAAACCCTAAACCCTAAACCATGAGGGTTCAAGGCTGCCACACGGCTCTTGTCCAGGGCCTCATCATCTCGAAGCATAGAGGCCGCATCCTTCCGATGATAAGTTGAGGGCTTTTGGTTCAGGGTTTTGTGTTTGGAGGTTTAGGGTTGAGGGTTTAGGGCTTTTGGTTCAGAGTCTTGTGTGTGGAGGTTCACCCAGCGGCTCCTACGTAGTGCCTTTGTGGCGTAGCATACTAGAATCACCGATAAGTAACCCAAAATAGAAACTACATTGGAGCCTTTGGGTAGGAATGAGGGGTAGGGGGCCAGGGTTTAGGGGTTTATGTTGACACGTGTTTTTTTGGAAGGCATTGAGCCAACAATCGCCCTTCGCCCAAAACCTAAACCCTAAACCCCTGAACCCTGAACCCTAAACCCTAAACCCTGCTGCCTATGGTGTAGAACATGGGCCCCTGAGGATTCCTGCGTCACCCCCAGACAGGCTAAGGGCCCGGTTTAGGGTTTAGGGGCTTCGAGGTTTAGGGTTTAGGGTTTAGGGTTCAGGGTTTGAAGCGTTGTTCAACCTGGAGATACCAGGGACCGTCTCGGGGAAGAGAGTGCTGTCAATGTCACTACTTTCTCCGGAATACAAGAGCAACTTTCAGTCATTGGCTCATATATCCAATATATATACATATATACACATATACACATATACATATATATATATATATATCCGTAGTCTATGGCAACTGTCGAAGCTTGTCACGGGTGGGCTATACGCAATTGGTATGATGGAACATAGCTGTTTAGATACCCGCTTTTCGGGTAGTATACCAGAACCCCCTACAAC